ACAACTATCTGGCCTGGGCTGCGTGGAGAAAGGCTCTTCTCCAACGCCAAGAGTAGAGGTAGTAACTGTACAAGTTGACCCTGAGGGGGTGGATCCGGTCGATGCCTGCGATCCACTGGATGCATCCTGGAGGGGTTTGCGGAGTTTCTGCCGCTTCTTTTGATCTCCCAGCTGCCTCTTCAGCTGCTTCAGCTCCATAGACTTCTTCCCTGTGGAGTGGAGAGTCGTCTTGGGCTGGTTCCGGGAGAGGACGTTGACGCCGTGAAAAGGTCTACTCCTTTCCACACTCCTTCATTTTTTCCCCAGCTCCGTAGGCACTGGTACCGCTTCTTTAATTATCCGCTTCCTCTGGAGTTCTTCTCGGAATTTGTTTATGGCCCTGGACCCGTGAAAATCACTAGTCTTCATTAAAGCATCTTTGAAAGATAACTTTACCGAATTCTGTTTTTTTTCCGGGGTCGAATTGGAGAGTTCCCGTCTTGGTCGAGTCTGTTTTCGCGGAGGTTTTCTTTTCCTCAGCGAATTCCTCTGACAAATTTCGGTCAAGGGGCTTGGGATTTTGCCCTTGATTCTCCAAATCTCGCGCCCAATGCTGTCCTTCAATTTCGATTCGGTCCACATTGCGCTGGCGCTTTCGGATCTATTTTTCCTCGCCAACACGATCCGCAATATCTGGCGAGATCCGTTTTTTGACTTTTTGTTTTTAGTTTCGCCACTCCAACGAGCTCAGAATGCCGCACGTGCAGATTTCATGTGAAAACAGTCGACAATCCGATGTCCGTTTCCGCCGCAAAATTCGCAAATTGTTTTGTTTTTTGCAGGTCGTAAATTCGCGTCGAATTTGTCGACTTCCTTGGGGTCGGCAAACGTGGTTGAAGCCGAGCGATCCCCTTGTCATGATTCGACGACGTGGGGCCGTTGTGTTCCGGAGTTGACCAAGTCAAAACGCTCCGCGGCCGATACGATTTTGCTGTAGCTGCTGCAATTCGCTGCTGCAACCTGGCGCCGAATGTCGGTTTTCAGCCCCGCGATGTAGGACTGAATTTTTTCGCCCTCGGTAATGTCGGGAATGCGATTATAAAATTCCTCCATCTGCTGCGTGTATTTCGCGACACTCCCGAATTGCCTATGGCGATGTAATTTTTCGCGCGCAATATAAGTGGAATTAATCGGCTCAAAACGTTTGAGAAGGTCTGCCCGGAACTGCTGCCACGTGGCTTCGCCCTGGAAAATGCTACTGTTGCTTCCGAGCCTCTCGAGAGCTGGACCGCGCATCAACGTTGTCGCGAGACGAATTTTCTCGCCGTCGTACTCCGTTGTCGACCATCCGATTGCCGTGAAATGATTTTCCATCGTCGCGAGCCACCGCCTGATGTCAGATTTTCGATCGCTAGGGTCGAACGATTCCGACGAGCGAAGTTTCGGAACCTCGAACTGACGCTGCGACTGCTGCGAAGTTGTCGAAGCAGGAATGTTCATGGTCGAGAGGAGCCGCGTAACGCGCTGCAGTTCGTTTCGCAGCCGCTCGTTCTCGAATCGCGACCGTTCAGTCGTCGCTCGCATCTCCGCTTCCATCTTGGCAATTTGCGCGAAGAGCTGCTGCGTAACGTCGTTGGTCGCCGACGATCCCATCCTGTTCAAAATGTGAAAAGGAGAACGCGAATGAATGAACTATGAATAAAGTGAGTACATATAGGAAACCCTAATTGGGTTGTACCCCCTATGGGATACCCCACTATAGCCTACATAACAGCATAAGCTATATGATGTTCTGACACACCCCCATAGGCAAAGTGGGGGAGAACAAGGGGTCACAAGACCAGTCAAGCAAAGCAGAGCAAGCTCAGGGTGGATCACAAAGTCACCACACAGTCCGAGCACAACGACAAGGCCACAAGGCCAGTTCACATGCAAGAGTACACATATATATATATAGAGCAAGACAAGCAAGAGCATGTATATATATGTGACAGTACAAGCAAGGTCAAGAGGAGAGCAAGTGAGGCAAGACAGGTACAAGACCCAGCTGAGTGCAGAAGCGCTGATGGTCACAAGGCGCAAGTGCCTTGGTGAACACATCAGCAGTGTTGGCCTCAGAGGCCACGTACGCAAGTCGCAACTGACCACGCTGCTGCAGCTTACGAGCAAGAAAGTAACGGAGAGCAATGTGCTTCGTTCTGTGCTCCAAGCACTTGTCAGAACTTATATTATGTAGCTGCCTGTTGCTGTAGTTAGTGTAGTTATTTCAATCTGTAGGTGGTGCACCTCTTCACTTGTTTTCTTTGCTATATATTCTTCGAAACTAAAGTGAAACCACATTCTCCCCACTTCTCTTCCTACTCACTCGAAACTCACCCTAGGCAAAACCCGCTCAACATCCTAGTTGGGCCTAGGCTACTAAGCCTAGGCCCTAGTTAATCTTAACTCAACCTTGCACTAATTTTGACAGCGCTGCTCTCGACACAAGGCCAGCATGGCCTTGTTGTCTACGTACAGCACTGGAGGAGAACGAGGCGGCTCTCCAAGGTCAGTCAGCAGGTAGGTGAGCCAGCGAAGCTCCTGTGCAGCCATGGCCCCGTCGTAGATCTCAGCCTCACAACTGGAGCCGAGAACAGAAGACGAGCGAGTAGCCCGCCACAAGACAGAGCCGGAACCAAGTCTGAAGGTGTAACCCTGCGACGACCGCTGCGTAGCCTGGTCATCAGCCCAAGAAGCGTCCGCGTGGCCAGTGAGGACCACTGGACTTCGCCCTCCAAGCACTAGCCCCATGCCCGACGTACTGCACAAGTAGCGCAACACCCTCTTCGCTGCAGCCATGTGCTCTGGTCGGTGTCTCCCAGGAGCAACATAGCGTGCAAGAATGCTAAGAGGGTATGCAAGTTTAGGTCGTGTGCAGGTCATCAGGTACATCAGGCAGCCAACAAGCTCTGGGTACGAGCCACTAGACTCTACGGACTCATCAGAAGGCAGAGCTCAGAGCGAGTGGCGAGTAGACAGAGGAGTGGCCTGAGGCGAGGAGTACGTGAAGCCGAAGCGCTGAAGGACCTGCTGCACCATGTGTGACTGAGTCAGGGTAACGGTGCGGCATGCTCTGTCCCGGGTGATCTGCAAGCCAAGGTAGCTGCGCAGTTCACCCAGGTCTGTGCACGTGTGTCTCTTCTGTAGCTCGGACTTCACGTAGGCGAGTCCACCAGTGTCACCTGCGGCAAAGACCAAGTCGTCGACGTACACGAGGATGTAGAACGGCGGCAAAAAGGTGTCGGTGCGCAGAAACAGCGACGGGTCGGTAGTAGAGGGAGCAAACCCAAGAGCCGCAGGTGTAGTCCTCAGTGTGTCGTGCCACTCACGCGGTGCCTGGCGCAGAGCGTAGACTGGCCGTCGGAGGCTCCACTGGGTGCCAGGAGGGAAAGTCCCATTGAAGCCAGGTGGACGGCGCAGCCAGATCTCCTCGTGCAGGCTACCCTGCAAGAAAGCAGTGCTGAAGTCAAGAGAGTGGAGCTCGTAGTCGCGCTGAGCGGCTATGTGCAGCAGCACCCGAAGAGTGGTCATCTTCGGGGTGGGAGAGAAGGTCTGAAAGTAGTCAACTCCCTGCCGCTGACTGAAGCCACGAGCGACGTACCGCGCCTTGAAGATAGGTGGAGAGCCTGGCGGCCGCTTCACCCTGAAGATCCACATGCCACTGACGATGTTCGCCCCAGGAGGGGGAACCGCGTCAACGTAGGTGCTTGTGGACTTCCACGACGCCATCTCTGCATCCATAGCTGCCTGCCACTGAGAGGAGTAGGGACCCTCTACGGCCTACGCGTAAGAGCGCGGAGTCGGGATGTCTAGTGCATCCGGGTCTCCCTTAGGGGCAAGTAGTACGGACGAGAGATGAGGTGAAGCAGCAGCCAGACACTGGAACTCCTCCTGCCTGTCCTCAAGGACGTCCGCGCCAAGAGCACTCACCTCCGACGAACGGAGGACACACAGACGCTGACTCAGCAATAAGACTGGCAGCGTAGTCGAGACGACAGCGAGCAGCAAAGTCGATGAGCTCAGCAACAAGTGCAGACGCAGCAGTGGACTCAAAAGAGGGGTCAGTGACGACAGTACCAAGGAGACGTGTTACACTAGGACTGGCAGCACGAAGAGAGTCCGACTCTAGGTCGGCAAGTGCAGGAAGAGAGGACTCAGGAGGAGAAGGCAAAGGGGCACGCAGAGGAGCAGTGGACGGACGCAAAGACATCCGTTGCATGCCAGGGACAGGAGGAGGACGGTGACGCGAACCGCGACCACTAGTGCGAGCAGCACGAACAGGCGACGCGGGACAAGATGCAAGCTCCTGACGCTCAGCAATACCTCCAGTAGGACCAGTGTAAGGAGAGGGAGCAGGAAGTGGGCAGGCGGGCTCTAACTAGGATTATGACTGAATAGGCGGTGGACACTCTGCAGGAGGAGAAAGACCAAGAACCTGCTGCAGGAGTGGACGGAAGTACGGCCGAGGCCGCGCGACGACTCCAGACACAGCAGGGACAGCACCCTCAGCAGCAGCACCAGCGCCAACAGCACCTCCAGCTGTAGGACCTCGAGCAGCACCAGCAGCACCCGCAGCAGGACCACCGCCAGGAAGGACAGCAGCAATCTCAGCACCAACACCCGCAGCAGCTCCAGCTCCAGGCGGACCCGAAGGCTTAGTAGCTCCGGGACCAGCGGCACAAGTACCCTCAGCAGCCGAAGGAGCTCCAGCTCCAGCAGTACGCCTCCTGCAGCGAGCAAACCACTCGCGCTGCTCCTGTGGAGAGAGGGGCTCCCGCCGAGGCGAAGCACGCGGAGAACTTCCAGGTCTCGCACCGCCAGACGCCACAAGGGGAGGTCCACTGACCGCAGGCTCCGCAAATCCAAGCTCACCAACTCTAGATGCAGCACCCCCTGGCTCAGTAGCTCCTGATGTAGCACCCCCAGGCTCAGCACCCCCAGTCGCAGCACCCCCACGCTCAGCACCCCCAGACTCCGCACCTTCAGGCTCAGCACCCCCAGTCGCAGTACCCCCAGGCTCAGCACCCCCAGACTCAGCACCCCCAGGCTCAACACCCCCAGGCTCAGCACCCACGCGCGCAGCACCCCCAGAGTCAGCTCCCCCAGGCTCAGCACCTGCAGCAGGACCAGAGTCACCAGTAACGTCGACCGGCTCGACTGCGTCTACCTGGGACACACCTGAAGGGGCAGGACCCTGAGGGGGAAGGGGGTCTACTGGGGGGGGACCTGGCACAAGGAAGTGCGGTGGCGGGGGGAGGGAAGGAGTGCGGTAGGGGAAGAGGCGGTAGAACGGGACTGACTCGTCGAACGTGACGTCCTGGGAGGACAGAACACGACGAGAGGAGGGGTGGTAGAACTGCCACCCTGGGGCGTCAGGGGGGAAGCCGAAGAAGACACAGGGAGCAGCACGAGGGGACAGCTTGTCCGCAGACAAGTCGCGGACAAACGCCCGAGATCCCCAGACATGGAACGCAGACGCATCGCCGACCTTCCCCGTCCACAGCAGAGCTGGGGAGGTCTCCGGCCGGGAGACCTTGGGGTGAAGGCTGATCTGATGCGCCGCGTACCGAACCTCAAACGGCCACAGAAAATGGGGGGCAGCCGCATGCATCATGGACGTACGAGCGACGTCCATGACCATGCCAAAGCGGCGCTCAGCAATCCCATTTTGTTGTGGAGAGCCCGGAAGCGTAAAGGTCTGGCGGATGCCTCGTGCATGGTAGTAGGCTCGCAGAAGGCCAGAGGAGAACTCTCCACCTCGGTCAGAGTGCAGACACAGAACAGGAAAGTCCGGGCCGAAGCTCCTCCTGAGTTGGAGACGAGCTCAGCGGATCCAGTCGATCAACACCTCAATGAGATCACCCTTGCTGCGCAAGCGGAAGACTGTGGTGTAACGCGAGTAGTCGTCAACCACCAGCAGGAGGTAGCGCTCGTGACCCTGTCCATGGACGCAGGCCGGGCCCCACACGTCCATGTGATGCGTCTGCAGAGGAGCCTCTGTCGGGGGAAACTGGGAGGAGTGAGGGGCAGCGCGGAGCCGCCCCTCGACAGAGGGGACACAGGAAGGTCCTGGTCCCGAAGGAAGGGGAGGAAGAGACCGGGGGAGACCAGAGACAAGGACACGGGAAGCCATGCCCCGAAGACGAGGCAAGGAGGGGTGGCCAAGACGGTGGTGCCACAGGAGAGTCTCGTGAGACAGGCGGCGACACGAGCAGGGGGCAGACTCATGACCAGACCTGGACGCTGCAGCAAACACCTGACCCAACGCAGCTACCTGGCCAGACGCAGGGAGAGGAGGAGACTCAGTGGTCAGGGTGTATAGACTCGACCCCGGCCGACGCGAAAACTTGGCCAGGTGTCGGCCTGTGCGGGCGTCCGAGCAGTGGGTCATCCGCTAACTCGCAGGAGTAAACAAGTGAAACCCCGCATCCTGCAGGTCAGCACCACTCACCAAGTTCGTCGAGAACGAGGGGAGGTACAGACCAGACAGGGTGCCCGAGGGGGCAGCCGGACACGGGAGGACAGTGGAGAAGTGAGAGAGGAGCGGACCCCCAGAGGGGTCAGCTAGGGAGACTGCAACCGGCCGACCAAGCGGCGTGAGTGTGGTGCGGTCTCGATAGAAGGAGCAAGAAGCCCCTGAGTCAAGTGTGAAGGTGAGGGAGGTCGAAGCCGACGCTGTACCTGAGAGCGCAGATGCACTAGCATGTAGAGCAGTAGTCTCACAAGCACCTAGCGCAGCAGTACCAATGCCCGGGTCGGGCGGGAAACACTGGTAAGAGTCACCCTCATCACGAATAGTCATAGCATACATGGCAGCAAGGATAGCATCAAAGTCAATATCAAAGATCGCTACGCCAGCCCTAGACAGCTCTCCCCAGCGGGAAATCTCACTAGCCTCGGGGAACTGCTGACGCCAAGCGTTTGTCAGGCGGCCAAAGCAGCGCTGGGTGGGGTGGGGACCCCCACACTGCTCACCCGCGGGGTCGCCAAAACGAAGAACGTAGGTGCACGGGCCAAAACCCCCACCACACTGACGCTGCGTGTACTAGTCACGGAGTTGCGGAGGCGGGGGGATGTCCCGAGAACGCTGCTGCTGCTGCTGCTGGCGCTGACCACCACCAGAACCGCTCCGCTGCGGGGCACTACCCCGACCGGCTCCACCTCCTCCGCCACCGCCGCCTCCACCTCCGCCACCACCGCCGCCTCCGCTTCCACCGCCGCCGCCGCCACCGCCTCCGCCTCTGCTGCCGCCGCCACCACCACCACCCCGGCCACCACTCCCACCGCCACCCCCACTCCCTCCGCCGCCTCCACCTCCACCCCCACCGCCCCCGCCAGCTCCACCCGCGCCCTTGCTCCCCTTGCCCTTGCCAGAGCGGCGTCTCCCGCTAGGGGCAGACGCCGCGCCGACCGACTCAAGACCAAGCAGGTTGGCAGCAGCAGCAGAGGCAACAGAGGGCAGCAGGGGGGAAGGAGAACACCCCTCAAAGATGGGGGTGCGCGGGTCTCCACGAGAGGCTCCTACAGCGACTATGCTCTTCTCCGCCGCTAGGAGGTCCTTCTCGAGGAGGTCAACAGTGAGAGTGGTGGGACAGACTGAGAGGAAGTGGTCCCTGACCACTCGAAGGGAGTCAGGGAGGCTAGTGACTATGTAGTAGAGAGCGATGTACATGGGGGGGGGGGTTCTTGGTGCAGAACACACCAGGAAGGGCGGCGCGGTAGTAAGTGTCACTAGTGCGGAGGTGCGTAATGAGGTCAGCGACTGTGGGAAAGGCAGTAAGATCAGGAAAGAGGTACGGTAGCATGAGGCGGCTTAGTGCAGCAAAGGCAGGGGAAGAGTTGCGCGCAACTACAGCGTCGTACAAGGTCTGAGCACTCTTGTACTGACTAAAGTGCGCGCGCTTAGTGGTAGGGAGGTGGCGACGCACAGCAAGACGTGCAGCAGCTACGCGGGTGGCCCACTGAGAGCGAATAGTGGGGTCAGCATCAGCAGCAGGAGCAAGAGAGGCGCTAGAGGTGAGGTCAAAGAGAGAAAGACCGTCCGCCATATCGTAGTGTAAAAACAGCTGCAGGTCGTCGACCTAGACCTCAAAGTCAATGGCTCGACCCTCAGCGTCAATAGCGAGGACACTAGGGGTAGCCATGACGATAGACTAGCAGTGCAAGCAGTGGGGGGAAAGGCATGCAGTAGTCGTGGGGCTGTGCTCACCAGACAGGGCAGGTCGGGCGGCTCGGCAGTAGGGCGGCTCAGCTGCGGGGCGGCTTGGCGGGTGGGCGCCTCGGCGGCGCGACGGCAGGGCGGCAGAGCGGCTCGGCTGCTCGGCGGGGCTGGGCGGCTGGGCGGCTCGGCGGCAGGTTGCTGGGCGGCTCGGCGGCTCGGCGGCTCGGATGCTGGGCGGCTCCGCTACACAGCGGCTAGGCGGCTCGGCTCCTCCGGTACTCAGCGGCGCGGCGGTCGGCTGATCGGGTGCACGCTGCAGGGCGGTGCAGTGGGGGACGGCTCGGGTGGCGCGGCAGGAGAGGAGAGCGGCAGGGCCGCTAAGGGAGGTATTCAAGTAGGGCGGCGGGGCCGCTAAGGAAGGGCGGAGGAGCTGCTGAGGAGGGGGGCGGGGCGGCGAAGTGCAGGGCGGCGGAGCCGCTGAAGCAGGGTGGCGGGGCCGCGAATAGCAGGGCGGCGGGGCCACTGAAGCTGGGCGGCGGGGCCGCGTTAGCAGGGCGGCGGGGCCTCGAAGGAAGGGCGGCGGGGCCTCGAAGGAAGGGCGGCGGGGCCGCTAAGGAAGGGCGGCGGGGCCGCGAAGTGCAGGGCGGCAGGGCCGCTGAAGCAGGGCGGCGGGGCCGCGAAGGAAGGGCAGCGGGGCCGCTTAGTAGAGGGCGGCGGGGCCGCGAAGTGCAAGGCGGCGGGGCCACGAAGGAAGGGCGGCGGGGCCGCGAAGTGCAGGGCGGCGGGGCCGCGAAGGAAGGGCGGTGGGGCCGCGAAGTGCAGGGTGGCGGGGCCGCGAAGTGCAGGGCGACGGGGCCGCTGTAGCAGGGCGGCGGGGCCGCTTAGCAGAGGGTGGCGGGGCCGCTTAGCAGAGGGCGGCGGGGCCGCGTGAGCAGGGCGGCGGGGCCGCAAAGGAAGGGCGGCGGGGCCGCGATAGCACGGCGGCGGGGCCGCGAAGAAGGGGCGGCGGGGCCGCTAAGGAAGGGTGGCGGGGCCGCGATAGCAGGGCGGCGGGGCCGCGATAGCAGGGCGGCGGGGCCGCGAAGCGTAGGGCGGCAGGGCCGCTAAGGGAGAGAAGGCCGCTAGGGCGGCTCGGTGAGTGAATAGCCTGAGGCGCGACTCGGGATGAGTGCGCTTCGGGCAGTAAAAAAAAATCGAAGTGGTGGGCCCTAGGCACAGTTCCCACAGGGGAACCTGCTTGATACCATGAGAAGAATTGAACGAGAATGAATGAACTATGAAAGAAGTGAGTACATATAGGAAACCCTAAATGGGTTGTACCCCCTATGGGATACCCCACTATAGCCTACACAACAGCATCAGCTATAATGTTCTGACACACGCCTTTTCCGATACTACAATCACAAGTGCGCATAAGCACGCAAGTCTATTGGCACTTGGGATTACGCCCAGATTACACCGTATACACCACTGTCGGCGCTGTCGGTGCCGTATAATAGGTATGTCGGTGGGAAAAGTAGGAAATAAGAGAAATAAATAGAAGGCTCTAGAAAATTGAATAGTAGGCCGATTGAGATGAGATATAGACCAAAATAAAGAAGAGAAAAGGGAGAATAGGATAACGGAAAAATATAATAGTGAGAAAATATTATAACGGGGACGTCCTCTCACAACGGTGTTGCTTGGATGTCCCATGCGTGCGTGCCAGATGTCTTCGGAGGCGCGGTGTCCGGGTGAGCGTCGATATGCCTCGGAGTTGGAGTAGAAGCTGGCGACGAGGTTTGCGCTTCTGTGGACTTCTCGTTGAGTTGGGTTCAGTTGCTGTGCGGGTGTTGGTGGTGCTTCGTCAATGAGAACTGGTGTCGCTGCTGCTGATGATGGTTATACTGCTGCCGATGATGTTTCTGCTGCTGCCGATGTTGTCTCTGCTGCTGCCGATGTTGTCTCTGCTGCTGCCGATGTTGTCTCTACTGCTGCCGATGTTGTCTCTGCTGCTGCCGATGTTGTCTCTGCTGCTGCCGAATGTTGAATTGTTGCTAACGCACGTGTTCGTTTTGCTTCAGGGATGGTGTGCGAGTACCAAAAGCCTTCCGGGCTGAAGTCTGGATCAAGATCTGGAGGGTGTGTCCAGTCGGCGAAGTTCACGATGGCATCGCTGTCTGCGGTGCCAAGGTCTGGAACGAAGTCAAGGACGAAGACGTTGTTCTTCAGGACCGCCTTCATGTCCTTCTACGAGCAGCATCAGCAAGGAGGACCTGCACAATCACACAACAGCAACAACAACGGAGCAACACCCATGAGTCTCGACGGCTCATCATATGCACGGGGAAACCAGCAACAACAACCTACCTTTGCTCCATACGAGCGCGGATCCATCAGCTTCATGCCACAACCACAGCCCTCACCTGGACAAGAAAAGCAATTGGATGCACTGCAAGTTAAGTCGCAGTTCGCACATGTCCTGAAGATGCAGACGTCAAGACCTTTCAACGGAAAGGATTTCTTCACCTGGTCGTTCGAGTTTGAACTGATGATGGAAGGCGCGCAGATACTCGGATTCTTTGACGGAACCCTGCCATATCCAATAAATGGCACACAATATGAGAAATAGTAGTACACCTATCAGTCAATGATGGCGTACACGGTCCTCCTGAGAAACATCACCCCGAATCAACAGCAGAACATAAGGACTTACTGACGAGAAGTGAGAATGGATGATTGAAGTATGAAAGAGTTGGGTACAAGTACTAACCCTAATTGGGTTGTACCCCATATGGGCTACCCCACTACAGCCTACACAAATGTACAAGCTATAATGTTTTGACACACCCCCATAGGCAAAGTGGGGGGGGACAAGTGGTCACAAGACCAGTCAAGCAAAGCAAAGCAAAGCAAAACAAAGCAAGCTCAGGGTGGATCACAAAGTCACCACACAGTCCAAGCACAAGAGTAGGGCCACAATGCCAGTTCACATGCAAGATCATATATATAAAGGTAAAACAAGCAAGGGCAGGTATAGAAAGAAGACCTTACAAACAAGATCAAGAAGTGAGCAAGTGAGGCCAGGTAGGCACAAGACCTAGCACAGTACAGAAACGCTGATGATCACAAGGCGGAAGGGCCATGGTAAAGACATCAGCAGTGTTGGCCTCAGAGGTCACGTAAGAAGGGCGCAGCTGACCACGCTGCTGCGAGTAAGAAAGCAGCGAAGAGCAATGTGCTTCGTTCTGTGCTCCAGTCTGTGCTCTCAACACAAGGCCAGCATGGCCTTGTTGTCTACGTACAGAAGTGGAGGAGAACGAGGCGCCTCTCCTAGGTCAGTCAGAAGGTAGGTAAGCTAGCGTAGCTCCTATGCAGCCATGACCCCTGCGTAGATCTCAGCCTCATAGCTGGAGCCGAGAACGGAGGACGAGCGGGTAGACCGCCACAAAACAGAGCCGGAACCAAGACTGAAGGTGTAACCCTCTGACAATCGCTGCGTAGCCTTGTCGTCAGCCCAAGAAGCGTCAGCGTGACCTCTGAGGACTACTGGATGTCGCCCTCCAAGCACTAGCCCCATGCCCGACGTACTGCACACGTAGCGCAACACCCTCTTCGCTGCAACCATGTGCTCTGGTCTGTGTCTCCCAGGAGCAACGTAGCGTGCCAAGATGCTAAGAGGGTATGCAAGATCAGGTCCTATGCAGGTCATCAGTTACATGAGGCAGCCAACAAGCTCTGGGTACGGGCCACTTGACTCTACGGACTCATCCGAAGGCAGAGCTGAGAGCGAGTGGCGAGTAGACAGAGGAGTGGCCTGAGGCGAGGAGTACGTGAAGCCGAAGCGCTGAAGGACCTGCTGCACCATGTGTGACTTAGTCAGTGTAATGGTGCGCTGTGCTCTGTCCCGGGTGATCTGCAAGCCAAGGTAGCTGCGCAGTTCACCCAGGTCTGTGCACGTGTGTCTCTTCTGCAGCTCGGACTTCACGTGGGCGAGTCCAGCAGTGTCTGCAGTGGCAAAGACCAAGTCGTCGACGTACACGAGGCTGTAGAACGGCAACAAAGAGGTGTCGGTGCGTAGAAACAACGACGGGTCGGCTGTAGAAGGAGCAAACCCAAGAGCCGCAAGTGTAGTCCTCAGTGTGTCGTGCCACTCACGGGGCGCGTCACGGAGACCGTAGACTGGCCGCCGGAGGCTCCACTGTGTACCAGGAGGAAACGACCCAATGAAGCCAGGAGGGCGGCGCAGCCAGATCTCCTTGTGCAGGCTCCCTTGCAGGAAAGCTGTACTGAAGTCAAGCGAGTGAAGCTCGTAGTCGCGCTGAGCGGCTATGTGCAGCAGCACCCGAAGAGTGGTCATCTTCGGGGTGGGAGAGAAGGTCTGAAAGTAGTCAACTCCCTGCCGGTGACTGAAGCCTTGCGCCACGTAACGCCCGTTGAAGACAGGCGGAGAGCGTGGCGGCCGCTTCACCCTGAAGATCCACATCCCACTGACGATGTTCTCCCCAGGTGGGGGAACCTCGTCGACGTAGGTGCCTGTGGACGTCGAGGAAGCCATCTCTGCATCCATGGCCGACTGCCACTAAGAGGAGTAGGGACCCTCGATCGCCTCAGCGTACGATCGAGGAGTCGGGATGTTTGGTGCATCCAGGTCTCCCTCAGGGGCAATCAACGTGGACATGAGATGGGGCAAAGCATCCGCAAAGCACTGGAACTCCTCCTGCCTGTCCTCAAGAACGTCCGTGCTAAGAGCACACTCACCCTCGACGGACAGAGGACAGACAGACTCAAACGCAGCAACAAGACTGGCACCGTAGTCTAAACGGCAGCGAGCAGCGAAGTCAACAAGCTTAGCAACTAGAGCAGACGCAGCGGTGGACTCAAAGGTAGGGTCAGTAACAACTGTAG